GTGGAAGAGGTGGTAGTCGTGGAGATGCAGGTTTCTTACCGCGAAAAATATTTTTCACAATAAGGTTCTCTACTACTTTATGGAACTGACGTTGGAGCGGAGTTGCAAATCCAAGAATAAGACCATCATATAGTGCCACAGTGTATCCGTACAAAGGAGCTGCCTTTCTAACGTATGAAAGCGCTCGAGTGAGTGTGCGCAGGCTAAATGATGGTGGTTTTGACTCCCCATCTAAAGAGCAGAGTTGAGATTTTGCATTAAACACACAATCCAAGAAGAAATTTGTAATGCAGTCCTTCGGTGTGTCTGGAGAAAGAAAACCAATGTACTCTTGAACAATAACATTAATGTCTGCTGGATTAAAAGGTTCACTCACATAAAATTCAGTGAAACGTGACCGCAAGGATGGTGGCAAATCCTTTTTACCAACGTCTGTTGGAGGGTTCATATTGGCAAAAACTCGAAAATTCGGATGCCTCAAAATGGGCTCGGTATTTTCTTTGTCAGTTAAAAAGAGACGATCAACGTCTCCTAGAACAGACGAAACACGTTCTAGAACTTCTGTAGAGGCTAGGTTCAATTCATCAAGAAGAATCCAGTGTCCTTCCCTCCAGGACTTTACAAGGGATCCCTCTTCGTAATAAAATGAGAAAGTTGTTCGTGTCTTTTCAACTGTGTCCAATAATTCCTCAGATTGCTTCCATAGCGTTTTCCACTCATTTTGTATTTCTAATGAAAATGGGCTTCGCTCATTTTTGATCCAAAAAGTTTCACATCCCTTGAGTATTTGGCAGAGAGTACGATCCCACTTCCGTGAGCTCACAACCTTCTGGAGCGCATTTAGAAAAGTAACATTTTTCTCAAGGTTAAAAGATTTTGAGAACAGGTTCATAAAAGTCAAGTATGCTTCACGTATCGGTATACCAACGTCCAAAGGTTTCCATCCACCCATAAAATCGCATGTGTCAGTCTGCTGATTGAGATTGTGAACAATTAATTTTTGGCCAAGCTGATCGGCAAGGTATTGCACAATAAATGTCTTCCCGACACCCGTTTCACCACTTAACAAAATGTTTTCACAAGATTGCACACAAACGGCAAGTCTTTCCAATAGACACATGGAATGCATTGTAGGGGCAAAAACAATCCGACTTGTCGAAACATGTTTAGCAAGAGAAATACAGGGAAGTGACACGCGGCCAATCAAATAAAAGTTCTCGGACATCTTTTCGATGGGTTTGTTAGCGAACAGTAACGGATTCGCTACATTTTCAGGAACACCACATGCAGTGGCCACCATAGTGAGCAGATGGTCTCTCGAGTTTCCCGGAGGATACTTTGCTAAAAAGCAATCGAATGCTTCCTTAAGCATTCCCTCTCGCAGAGTCGAAGAAATAAATTCTGTATTAATATTATTGTTACGGCTCCTCTCCTTATTAACTTCATTCATTTGTTTAAATCTTTTATCAACCCTATAGCTCCATTTTAAAAGGTCTCTGAGAGTCAGCAGAGAGCCTCCACTTTTATCAGTTCCCAAAGAAGCCAAGTTTTCCACAAGGCTTTCAGGAACATGATTGTACAGAGACCGAATGATAGTAAGAATTTCATTAGGTGGTATACGCTCCATTATGACTGCTCCCCAAAGTTCCATAAATGGAACCGTATTAGTCCGGTATGATAAAAGAGAGTTGCCAGAAGAGTAAAGCTGCTGTGTAGCTAATAGTTTAAAATCAGGGTGTGCCTGGATAGTAACATTCTTGTCTGCTAGGAATAACGTTGAGTTATCTAAAAGTGACAGAATGACAGAGAACACATCGAATGATGCTAAATCAATGTCTTCCATTAAAATCCAGTAACCCTTTTGCACAGCAATAGTAAGAGGACCTGGTACCCATTCAAATGTTCCTGGTGTATCAGTAGCAGAAAACTTTCCTAAAAGGTCCTTGCTATCAAATGTATCGTCTACATTTATTTGTATCATAGATTCCTTCTTACCTAATTGCTCGGCTAAAAAATGAATTATTATACTTTTGCCGCAACCAATTTCACCTTGGATAAGCACGGCCTTTGACGATTGCAAGCCAACTTTGACATTTTCCAAGTTGCGCAAAGTTGTTGGTGTGATAATCATTGTATGTTTAGCCTTTAGCTAGAGGAAAAAACTAATGCAGAAAGAATTTATACAAACAAACAAAATAAGGTAATATGAATAGTGCAATGAAATATAGTCTGATGTTAGTGAAAAAATATCAATCAGTAAAAATGATTAAATTACAGAATTAATGCGTAAAAAAATCAGTAGTACAGCATATCTTTGTTCAATACTCACTAGCAAGAAAATAAATAGCATTTAATTCGACAAGCATAACAAAGAAAATCGTTAAATCCTAGAACTACTTCTAGTTGATAAAACCAACGAAATCACTTTTTTGACCAGAAGAAAAAGATTAATAATACTTTGGTTAAATACCTAAACTATACTTTGATTCAGTGAATGTGAAGTAAAGCTCTAGAATTCCGAAGCCATAGAAAGCATGAAATCTAAGTGGTTCAATATGCTTCTTCTTATGGCGGTCCGCGCTGAAACTGTGTTCTGAACTATGGCTTAACTGCCGTAAAAGCACTGGTGAAACTTAGAAAAGATGCATAAAGTGTGAGTCAATAAAAATATTGTAAAAAAGATTCACAACAGAATAAATGTGTTGCTTTTTTTTTCGTTTGATATCTTAAAACAGTAAACTTTGGGATATATTGTTTTTTTTCAATTATTAAGAAATCAACAAAGCTACAAAACATTCTATGTGTGTGCACCACATTTACGAATGACAACCATGAGATAAAACGCTTGCTTATTGGCGAACAGGCTTGGAAGAATTGTGTTTCCACCCACAGGATACTAGGAGCTAATCACACTCGATCATAGTAGATCAGAGGACCAGTTGTCAGATTCTAGAGTAAAGCCTTGGTGTGTTGGCGATGCATTGAAGACTTTAATAATACATGCCACAATGGGTCAAGTTATTTTAACGCATCCCATTGATTAAGGATAAAGGCCATGATGATAATTTTTATATTTACTGTAATGTTAATACATATATATATGTTCTCTCATATACAAAACGTTGATTTGTTACATATTTGGATCAAAAATATATTCTTTATTTTTTCCACCACTGGGTGAGGAAACGATATTCCCCTTTGATGAGTCTGTTGTATACTTAAAGCTTGGCAATTAGTATGAAAACCTGTCATTTAGTAGAAAATGAGCATGTTATTTATGAATGCAATACAGATATGTCATTGAAGGCTTACTTCAATGCAGAAGTATATCTAACACTAAAATGTGTGTGGTGCATGGGGCCTGACAAAGCGCCGGAAGAACCTAGAGCTATATTATCGTGGTAACATAAAGCTTAGAGAGTAATTATCACACCATTCATTCTGAATTTTACTGATTATAAAGATATCTCTAAATAGCACAAATGATACTTTGACGATTAACTAACAAATACCTGCTATATACATAGATATGATGGGACAGCCAACAAGAAACAAAAAGCATCCTCTGCATTTTGTGTTTGGCTAAATGAAATAAAAAACAGAATACATTGTAGTTGTCGTAGGTGAAACTTGAATACCTGTCAGAAATATTGAAAATTATAGAAGGTTTTTCACTGAGGACATATACAGAGTAAGTTTTGAATGTTTTACTTATACTAACTGCGATTTTAGATTTTTGTTATGCCAAGTAATCCCCTGTGATGAACATACGGCTCTAACGCACAGATAACATTTAGATCTAATAATTATATTAATAAAAATACTGTATTAAACTTGAATATTCGGAATCGGAGTTTCAGCATCTGAATAATGATGGTAAGGCTTTTCGGATAGTTGAAAGGACTGGCATCGGTCCTTGATTTTATCATGAGAGAATCAAATGGACTAAATCCATAATATAGCACCTTACGTGGTTTCTTTTACTAATTCGAATTGTAATTCGTTTATATTAGGGTCGATTCTTCCCCGTCATGTTTTTATTTTTGGAACCTAAGCACCCCCCGACCTGGCATAAAAAAGGCAATACTCAGATTTATCAGGATACTTATGTACAACTTGCCGAACAGGGCGTGTGCCCCGGAATAAAATACAGCATTCCGCTGCCTTTGGAAACATTAAGCGGAGTTCACGCTCTAAACGCATAAAGATGTCTTTAAATATAAACTTATTGGCCCATGCTCAAAGGCCAGAACCGGATTTGGGAACTTCTTGTCAAGGCAACTCTTTTCCAAACTAACTCGCGGGACGGAAAGGTCATGAGTATCGAACTTTTCCAACAGTATCAATTATTTAGGCCAGGTGAAGTTATTCAACGCCCTTTGTTCGCAAGGGAGCCGCCATTTTCATGTTAAGGGGTACATTTTTAAAATCGAAAAATCCATTTATAGTCTTTTAAAGTGATCTTAATTATTGTAAGTCAGAATCTTCATTATTTTTCATGGGTTGCATGGTGAGATTAGGGGGGGG